AAAATATGCCCGGCCACGGTGGGAATCGAACCTATGACCTTTGGAATACTAGCCCAATGCTCTGCCAACTGAGCTACGCGGTCAGGACGGTTCGAGTAAGTGATATTTCGGAACAGAATCTAGTTCCTTCGATACCAATGTAATTTTGTAATATGATTAACATCAAATGATTTATTTGTTTGTATTTAGCTATGATTTCCAAAAATTTTGCGAATTTTTAGGATTGATTTCTATTGTAAAAAGTTAAACACTGAATAAAGTTTTCAATTTGAATATTGCAAATTTGTTCATTGTGGTTCAGTTTTAGCAAAACCAGTATATACCCAGATCATTTTTGATAAAATAGTGTATAATTTTGTCATTCGGAAACCGTAAATGTGTGAAACCCTAAATGTGTGAAACACTCTCAGAATCTCATTAAATAGAACATGCAACCTAATCGTAGAACACGTTAATTGTAAACTGTTGTAATTTATCTCTTGCAGCCTATTATTATTGCAGACTGCAGTTTGGTAGTCAAAAGCTTGTGAAATATTTTTCTACAAATTTTCAGCGGTTATACAATACACATTTACTACGCAAGTCAATCACTGGGAAAAATATGAAATCCATACTATGAAATTTGCAATTGTACCACTAAATCCATAGTATATCCATACTATTTCAATACTCTATCCATAGTATGCATAAAATATAAAATTATTATAGATAATCAAAATCCATTCTATATCCAACGAGAGTCCATACAATTTCCATTCTATGGCCTTCTAAGGATTTTCAATTCTTTCCAGTGAATTGCTTGGCTGTGGAAACTGGAAACGTCAAGAATTTTGTCTTGCAAAGTGGATGCATGTATAAAGTCACCAGTGAATGCTTACCTGATTGTAGTTCCCATCTGTTACAGCATCCTCGGCTGTTAATATTTCAAACGACTTGTCTGTTGTAATTTCAACAACATACATATCAGTTGATTTTCTTCTCCAGACATTCCCACTATGATCTTTCACAGCTCGCAAGATGACAAGTTTAAACAAGAAATTGTCCAATCCTTTTACAACCTTAATGAAGTTATCAAAGAAAAGATTTGTACTCTCTGCCGGGGCAGGAAATTATGTACGCATGGACGTTTTTTATCCATGACTATATGTATCGACTGATCAGTTCGAATAGCAAATAGAATTTGCACTAAACTTAGTTATGAACATATTGTTTGACGTAAATATTACACCACTATTGTTGTGCAGTAATTTATTGCAAGCTAGAATTTACAGCCAATTGCAATTGATTGCGACGCGTGCATAAACTAAACATTTGTTCACAGTTTCGAATTTATTGGTTGAAAGTTGACGTAGGCTACTAGGGGCAAACTTCATTGTTGTTAAAGCAAAACGTCTTCTACCAATAAGATTACGTTGTTAAAACACTCAATTAGCATTCTAACAAACGTTATGCAACCTATAGGCCTAACAGGCCTTTAATTTGACACAATATTCAATAATAAAAATTGGATATTCATTTTTGTTCAATATTAATCACTCCATGTCAATTTTAAATGTTCAATATTCCTCACTCCATGTCAATTTACTTTTCAATCTCACTTAAGGGGCTTCTCATAGTTATTTAAAATATGATGGAAATTCTTAGTTATAGTAGATCAAAATGTGAAGAATTGTTACTTGTTCGATAAAAAGCCAACATAAAATTGGGATGATAGTTACGTCACAATTGTGAAACATTTCCCAATTTATAAATATTGTCACAAAATTCCTGTTTTCGATTTGATTACACAATGTGTGCTACTAACCGACTGAGACATGTCCAAATGAAAAATCCTTGAAACAGGAATATCTCTTTTGACAGCATGGGAACGAAGAGTACGGGTAACACAATCGCTATCCACAGAGATTCCATGTACAGGAATGGTGGGGCATAACGACAACATTAAGTCTTCGCGAAGCTTTTTGTTATTCGGAAGGTTAGTCAATTGTTCTGCCAAATGCTTTACTACCAAACTTTTTCCCATACCAGCTCTGGACGACTGAACAACACGAACAGATAGTCTTTGAAAATAATGAAAGTAAACAATAAACAATCAATTTTGGACTTGTGCAAGTGCACTGTAAGCTTTCGATCCATAAGGCTTTAACTTTCTTCATGACACTTTCCATATATGATATTATGTAGTTAATGTGTTTAATAATTTTTCACCCAAAGTATGTGTACCACCGCTGAGATTTCTTTTACATTACATATTTTTACCATTTTCGGCCAAAATGTGATAAGAATGTGGTAGCAATTTTCGCACACAATACAAAAGTATACAAAATTTGCGAACTTTGCAAGGCTATAATATATTTTCCGCATTTTACAACATTTCGCAACCAAATTTTGTAATATTACTAATTTTAGTATGCTCTTCCTAGCTGTGGTGATTTATTTGCATCTCCTTGCCTAGTTTTAAAATTAGTCTATAATGGGAATTGTCTATTAAAATTGCATTTCAATTGTTTTTAAAGTGGTTTTCAAAAGATACCCTCCTGCACCTACAATTTACTTTTCAAAATAATTTTCGTTGTAAAGATACTAGCAAACTCCACAAAGTTTGCAGCATTTGCAGCTTAGTAGACATTTTCGAAATGTACAGCTTTTTTATACACCCTGTATACAAACTATACAAAAATTACAGTGTTCACTACTGTACAGTACGTATATACATTTTACATCACTCACTTTTCCATGTCAACAGTGGCTGCTGGTGCCCACTGAACATCGCCCACCATTTTCGCATCTGAAACAACCAACTGCTCTTTTAAATAATGCTGAATACCTCTCATTGGTGCGAGCAAGGGAAATTGGCGACGAAACTGATCTATGGATGCTACCATGTGTGACTTGTCTTCATTCTCAATACTACAAATTACGACCAAGTGATATCCTAAACAGAAAGAGGAAACCCTATTAAAATATAGGCTATTGACTATATTTAGCACTTTACCACTACCACTCTACCACTACGCTACCACTTTAAAGTGTTTAGCTTGATGGTATGATGGTACACTCGGAGTAACATCACAAGCATCATATTCACCTGAGTACATTACACCAACACAGGAAAAAAGTATTTTTTTTATTCAACAGATTCTAAGGATTCAACCAGCAACGACTGGAATTCTAGCCCTACGCTTTAGAGTAGTGCAGTGAAGGTTGACATGAAGTGTTGTAGAGTGAGATAATTTAATATTCAATCATTAGTATGCAGGGTTTTTGTACATGGAAATATGAGCGGATGAACTATTTAAAACATGAGCTGCAGTGTTTTATTAGATATATGTATATGTTATGTATCTTAAAACGAACGATCTAGTTACGATGTGTAAATCAAGAAAATCAAAGTTAAAGTTTATGTAAATCAATCTATCACATATAAAGATACGACACGCTTATGATTTTTCTTTATGTTCTCCTCATGAATTATTGAGGTTTTGAATATTAATACATATTTTAGACCTAACCAGAAGCAGTTGCGAAAACTGCAACTATTGGCCTCAGGCTGGAATTAAACTTACAGCACTGTCTACAATTCCAGTGCATAGCTCTGATTCCTGAGCTACAAAGTTTAGTTGCTAAGACCTAACCACAAGTTGATGTATAAACTCCATATACTAGGGTGATGCCAACGTGTTATATAAGGGTAAATAATCCAAATTTTCAGCGATCTCGCTCGCCAGAACGGAATGATAAAGGGATTTTGTAGATGAAGATTTCGAGAGAAAGGTAGACAGATTCTGAACTGATACAATTACACAAGAAGTGCTTTACTGTGGTCGAGTAAACTACATAATAATTAGAAAATTAGGTTTACGTAGTTTTGGGTTTGAACCAACCATTGCGTATTTTTATGCACATATCAATGTAAATCCCGTGGGGGGACAGTATAGGGGGGTTGATGACAAAACTCATCCCCTCCCTGGGACGTTTTCTAACTTGCCTGTCCCCAGGATGGGGCGGTTTCAATTTGCAGGTTGAACTTATTAATGCGCATGAGCAGTGATGCGTAAATTTAAATCCAGCGTGGTCATTTGAGCGTAGTCGAAAGCGAGGTCGAAAGTGCGGTTTTGCAAAGCTTTTTACAGTGGCTTTTACGTAATTGTATAAAAGGAAAGTTTAAATTTAAACCAGGATCAAAGTTATCAGAAAATAGCATCGCGTTGTAAAATCAGAAAATAGCATCGCGTTGTAGCATCGCCTCCAGTGTGAACGGACCTTTATGTTCATGTCAATTCATATTACTAAAAATGATTCTCCCTTGTTTTGCTCGATGTTTATAAGTAAATTGGTGTTTTTAAAAAGCTTAAAATATGTAGCTCTTCTCCCTTGGGTGGGGGAAAGTTACCTTTATTTGACCGGAATTCCCCCCCCCCCTGCGGGCATTTGATTAGTTTTCTCGTATTTTTGTCAAATCCCCTCCCTAGTCCCGGCCTCCCCACCCCCCCACGGGATTTACATTGATAGGTACATTAAACACCGTGCAGACACATAGCCGTCCAAAAATAAGACTGGTCATTGAATTCTACATTTAACCATTCTCACGTGGCCCACAACTGACATCTGTGGAGTACTGGCTGTCTGGCTTGCCACGTCAGATAATCTATGCAAAAGCGGCTCTTCGAATTAAGTTCTGACTGTACGTTTATCCTTATACAGTACATACACACACATTAATATAAAAGTCTCAGTTCTCGGCCTCGCACTCTCAGAAATGGGAGAGACCAGTACCCACAAAATGGTGAATAAGCCCTGTGAATAATTTCTTGTATCTCCAGATTGAATCAATAAATTCTATTATTGATCACAGAATCTTGAGATAAAATTATTGTATCCTAACAGTTAATTCAATTTAAAAGCTATATGCAACATCATACTTACTAGAATGGTTCTGTGTCAACAAGATCAAAGAACGAACAGCTTGTTGACTGACATCATAGTCCAATAAGTCAGCATTAGCAAGACAAAACAATAGACCACTCTCATCAACAACTGCACGTCGCCAAAGTAATTCAATCTATAATTACATGTGTCACGGAAAGAATGTGAATATTGTACTAATACTGTCTTAAGATAAACATGCATGGGGTCGATCACAAAGTGAAAATGACATAAAAAGTTGTGTTACTGTATTAACCACTTTGTTCAAATACTTGTTATGAAGAACATTTCACAAAGAAATTTAGCACAAGATCTGCCATATGAAAATTTCACATGTGAAACTGATTTGTAAAATTGGAACATTTCACATGAGAAATTTTCAGATACAGTGAAACCGAAACATTTCAATTGGGAATGATGCATGTAAAACTGTTTAATTAGATCTAAATAAATGACGTCACAACCAGAGTAGACGTTTTAAAACTAAAAATAATATCAGTAAAATGCTTATACATAGCATCAGTTTTAAGGTGGCTCCATGCAGTTTCTTGAAAAGTGGAAAAGGCACATTTCAGACACAAAATTTTGCACATCGATATTTTTATAGAAGAATGAAACCAGATATCTTGTATAGAACAGTATTTTGAGAATCCGAAACTGTAACGAAAAAGTCCGTAACTGTGGTTGCTATGGCAACAACGACATTTTAAAATGGCTGCTAATTTGCATTTAAACTAGTTTAATTCGAAAACAACGTTGGTGACCCCCAATTTTTTTTATTAAAAGTTTTTTTTCTACTATGAGCAATAATTAGGATAATTTTTAAACAAATCTGTAGGTCCAAAACATTTTTGTCAGGAATAAACAACCTGCATTATTGCGGAGCCCATTGAGGCACAAAATAACATTTGACTACCCATTGTTGTAGAGCCCATTGAGGCACAAAATAACATTGTGTTAAAGCCTGTTGAGGGAAAAAGTATCACCAAACAAAAAATAACACTGACCTATCCATTGGGTTAGAGCTAAACTGAGATCAGGCTTTATTTTACAAATATAGTATGACACAAACCTTAATCCGATCGCATTCCACTCACAGCAAAGTTTATAATTATTTAGTATCCAATCAAAATGTCGCAGGGGAAATTTAAATTTCAGAAAACGACAACAACAACCTAATTATAGTTGTGATTACTATAAAATATATCAACAATACTAAAAATTATATTCTAATTAGCAGCAACCAAGCAAATGACAGATTGAAAAATCTTTTGTCTCATAAACCAATCAGATTTACAACAAAAATACGGTTGTAAGGCATGGACTTATATTGCGGTTTGTATCAGGCCTATTTATTTATTTATTTATAGGCCTGATTGCAGGTTAGGGTAGAGAAATTCCAGCTTTTAATTTATGCATGACTGGAAATAAGGTATCATATTGCTGATTATGCTGAAAAGTATGAGCTAAAACTCCGTGTTTACAAGGCCATCATTTTTATTTTTCAGCTTAATCAGCAATATTATTCCTTACTTCCCATTCCCCCCTGCACACATAAACTAAAAGCTGGAATTGCCTATTCTGTGGTGGCTATCTCATGCTACCAATTACTTTTTTATATAGTTTTGCAATTCTGATGGATGTGAATGGTGCCATGTTAACTGCTGGATGAAACCAAATGCTTGTCACAGTCAAAATATAATATGGATATATTACTTCGCATGTAATAGGATGGGAGCTTCTGGATTAACAGAAATGTATTCCTATTAAAACAAGAATGCTGATTTACAAGATTGTTGGATATATTACATCTAATGCAATGGGATGGAATCTGTCATGTATTATTAAATTACCGTACTTGTTTCCTATCTACCATATGAATGTCATGCAGGAACATTGTATGTCATGATATTACAAACCTGTATATGTACAGCATCCTAACAAGTTATTGGACAATAATGATGGCAAACAATGGACACTATAAGCTAAATGAATACGATAACCTACATATTGGACAAAAAACAATAGTAACACATATCTACCAAATGAAAACAAACAAAAACTCATCATTATATACTTGCAACAAACCTAATCGTACCACGTTAAAAGACATATTTGTTCTTCCTAATTATTTTCTTCAAGACATTTTCACAAGTGAAGACTAAGCAATGATTTTTAATGACATTTAATGTCAGTTTCAAATATTGGCACTAAATTAAAATAACATGACATTGTATAAATATAAAATTTCGAAGTCGGAACTTTACAGCATCTAGTAATTATTGCATGTTGTAATTTCGATACTTTTTTGAACAAAATAAATTCATTCAGTGTGTATAAGGCAATTTAAAATAAATTAAGTTTATTGGTATAATCAATCCCCAGGGCTTTGGATTTAGTTGACCTTCGACTTTGTGTAAGGTGTCTGATATTCAAACTATTCTTGCCTCCTGAACAGGTGTCCTAGGAGCTATTTGCATGATGGAAGATGATTTTGATGTATTGAAATAAATCACCAGGCTATTTAGTAAACAAAAGTTGAAGTATAATTCATCTCTAGAAAATAATGAGATGTTTTGCTGAATCATGCACCGTGACTTATTTCAATATATCGAAATCATACTGCCTCATATCTCGTCCCGGCAAGCGGGATCATACAAACAGCCCCTCCTTATTCAGCAAATTGCGCATGCTGCCTTTCATCCCTTGGGGATGAGGCAGCATTTTCCTTGCGATAATAACTTCTAGTTATATCAATATTACATTACAGCTTTGAAATATCTTTTTGAACCAAAACCTATTGAACGTAATGAATTTTTCGTGTACGGTGCCCGTCTGCTCTCCTGGCTTCAGCGTAAAAATTTTCAGTACGTCTGAGAGTTCTTCGCTATTTTGTGGAAAATTCAAACTCTTTGCTGTTAGGTAGTCTCCTCCGCAGGCCTCTCTTTGGGTTTTAGCCAGCGAATGGGTTTTGAAAAAAAATATTCTGGGAGAGAGGCCTGCCATAAATCGAACAAAATGGACGTATCAATGTACCTTGTGGCCGTGTCAATGTACCCCACCCCCTAAGTAGGCTTTTGACCCTAATTATATATTCAGTTTGAAATCTATTCAGTGATATCGATTGCCACTTTAATGACAATTAAGTCGCTTGTTCTGGGACAGATAAGAAGTAGGTAGTAGTGACAAAGGGCGATTATTAGTTGCTTCTTCATGGTCGCCATCTTTCAAAATTGGTATAACTTCAGCAAATTTCCAAACTTCAAGGTAAATACTGGTAGTGAAAGAACAGTTTATGATATAAAACGATGGTAAAATATGATGGTAAAATACGATGTAGAGAATCCTAAATAACCCGCATAGGAATTAGGTAGGGGTAGGTATTTTTCGAGTTAAGCCCTTCGAGTTAAGCCCTCCGAGTTAAGCCCTTTTCGAGTTAAGCCCCTGCCACGCCCTTTTTCGCCGGGGGCTTACCTCGAAGTTAATTAACGATTTAAGCATTCGAGTTAAGCCCCGACATTTGGTGGATGTAAACAAGTGACGCGTGTATACTCGCAAAATATTGGCAAATAAGGAAGGAGAATGTAAAATTTCAGCAGTTAAACTAAGATCTCTGTTGCTTTGCCTACACTTTTATACAGACAATGACATCGTGAAATGAGAGAACTCAATAAGGATTTGTAAACAACAGCTCATTCAGGGTGGCAATTTATAATATATAATATATAGCGGCACTTGCAGAACGCAAATCTTAGGCATGTTCACAGGGAGGCGAGCTACCTTTCTAAGATATATCTCTTCTCCGAAGTAGGGGACTTCAATACTAGAGCGTGACATCATACGCTAGAACTTCATCCTTGATCACTCTGAGAACATCCAAATAGTACATATTTTAGTTTCGTTTACCGTTGTTTATTGCTTATATTAGTTGCCGTTGGTAATTAGTGGATATACAGCATCTGTTATCCATTTATAATATACCGGTATTACTGTTCTTCCTGTCTGTTCTCCCTCTGACGGGTTCTTGGCAAGATGTAAATAGTCACCGGAAATTATAAAACGAGTTTACATAATAAGAAATTCCTATACTAAGATCTTCTTGTTGCTGAGTTGATCGGTTACAATTAAGATAGCACGGCTCCCTATGAACATGCCTAAGTCTAAGATTTGCGTTCTGTAAGTGCCGCTATATATTATTTATTTTTTAAATCCGTAATTGCCGCCCTGAATGAGCTGTTGTTTACAAATCCTTATTGAGATCTCTCATTTCACGATATCATTGTCTGTATAAAACTGTAGGTAAAGCAACAGAGATCTTAGTAAAATTATTTTTTTTAAATTGCTGAAATTTTACATTCTCTCCTTATTTGCCAATATTTTTGCAAAAAACAGCAGTACGCGTCACTTGTTTACATCCACCAAATGTCGGGGCTTAACTCGAATGCTTAAATCGTTAATTGACTTCGAGTTGAGCGCCAGCGAAAAAGGGCGTGGCAGGGGCTTAACTCGAAAAGGGCTTAACTCGGAGGGCTTAACTCGAAGGGCTTAACTCGAAAAATACCTACCCCTGGTAAGGTCCTGATGCTTTGTTAGATGGCATATAGACATAACAACATTGCGCACTTCATCACAACATAGTGGTTTAAAGTAAAACAGTTCTTCACTGGTACTCGTCATTGCTATGGCTGAGTCATAATTACTTTCACTCACAACGTCTAATAATTAACTAGCAGTTTCGGCAGTATTCTGACCTAAAATGCCGATGAAGACGATCTCTTAAGTTCATAGCCTCTTTAATCTCATTGTTAACAAAAGCAACTGATCAATTAATTATACTTTTGCTCTCTTGATGAGTGCATGGTTTTTAAGAGATTCAAGAAGCAGATCGTTAAAAGCAGACACCTTACCATTTACGTCGACAGTACAAGCTACATTATCAAACGGAGCTTGGGACACTGAAGCTGAAAATAGACTCGGATCATAGTTCTTATATGATCGCATATGGATATAAAACGGAGGTGGTTTAAGCACTTTGACATTCAGGACACAATAAACAAGAAAGTAATCACTTATGCATGTTTTAGTGACACCACTCTCTATCACAAGGACTTTATTGGAAGTGATAAAACGTCTATCAAAGAAGTTGATCGATGACTGAGTAACTCTAGAGCGTTCAGTTATAACCTGGCACAAATTTAAGCTAGAACAGAACTCATCTAAGGCATCATGGTCCAACCCAGTTTTGAGTGGGTTAGAATTCAAATCACCGAGGACCACAATAGGTTTGCCGAGTGCATTGGTATAGGTAGGCATAAAATCATCATTGAAGCAGCCAAGGGAGCAATCTGGTGGCCTGTACGACACACAAATTAAAACGGTCATATGTTATGCGCCTAACATGGCTGCCAGTGTTATATTATATTATTATTATTGTTATATTATATTATTGTTATATTTGCTCCGTATATTCTTTGGTATTTGTCTGTTATGGATTAGTTTGGTAGCTAGTTGGGATCATATCTTGCGTATAAAAAACTTGCACAACGATGGATCAGTTATACTATTGGTGAAATTTTGATCAAATGATCAAAGACTGATTTGTTTAATTCAAATTTCCATTAAGGTCTAGAACCTGACACAGCGTCAACATTTCAAAAATTTATAAAGCCTTTTTATATAACTTTTATTGATTAGGTTAACCTACCTCTTCAGCTGTGGTATTTTCGTCGCAGACAATTACTTCTTCATCAGTTGGTAAAGGTTGATCGTTAGCACCCATGAAGAGTGACAAGACACAACCAAACACTTCGCCTAAAACACACCAATCATACAGTAACAAACGGAGAGCCACATATTTATGACATTGTCACAATGATTTTTCAATGTCAAGTGCATCGCAATTCCTTCTCTACTTCCTGTTGTACGTCATCTCATAAATCTATTGCAGTTAAACTCTTTTCATTTACATAAGTAAGGTAAGAAAATATTTTAGTATTTGTCTAGTAACCTAATATAAGATTTAATTATGAAATCATTGAATGATGGCTAACAGGCACTTAATAAATATATTTCTTGCTGCATGATCATTATAAAAGAATTTATAATAATAATTTTTATTTCAATTCCCAATTTCCCTATTAACTTTTTCACAAACTTATTCGCAAACTTTCCTTCTACTTACATCGCGTTTCAACTATTGTTGCTTCCACATTAATCTGAGTTTAATCGTTTAAGTTTTGATATTTGCGAAACAATTCTGTGCATGTCCAATACTAATTGTTGTGTTCAATAGACGGGGAGCGACTCTAGGATATAGTTACAGTCAAATCCTATACTCGACTTCTCTTACAAGCACTTCATCTAGGATTAAACTTTAACACAATTATAGAACCCGAACGACGCCAATTAAAGAAGGATTATTATATACCTATAGTCAAAGTCGGATCTGGTGTTTTATTGGTCGAGAGCATATCACGTAAGAGCGACGAAATTAGGCTGTCTCCTTCGCAACAGCGTGCGAGGGAGATAATACGTTATCGACCGGCGAAAAACGAAACAAAAATCACGTGCGCCATCACGTGAAGATGCGATAAAACAATCTGAACTTTCGCTTTAATTAACTGCAATGTTTAATTTAACATTTTAACAATAAAATATTTCATCTAATTACGCGTTCATTTGTTCTTTAATTCGTTGTTTCTTTGACTATTGATATATAATAAAATACTTATTTACTGGGACCTCAGGAAAGCAGTATGTTTTGTGGACCCTCGACGGTCGATGTTTCCCTCGGCTTCAGTTTCCGTCGGAAACATCGACAGTCTCGGGCCACAAAACATACTGTTTCCCTCGCTCCCAGTAAATAAGTGTTAATTATCAGTTCACTGCATACAAAATATTTAGTTCAGGTCTTTATGAAAGTGGTAAGTTTCCAAACTTGCAGTATTCACTCTCATTAACACTAAATTGAACTCTAAGTAAAGAACCTGCGCAAAAATGCCATACTGCGCAGATTAGAAGACTATACTAGGAATACATAGGTTAAAGTAAACCTTTTCAGACTTTCTTCAGGGAATAATTTGTCCAATTTTTATCAAATTTTCGCCAATTGTTAATAACTGCATGTGAGTTACCAGAAAGTCTTAAAACCATCAACAAATAACCAATTTTATGAATTACTGAAAATTTATATTTAAATGAAAATTGTCATCAAATAGTTGTTCCAAAAAAGGGTGTTCAAATTTTTCTGTATATTTCGGCATTTGTTCCATTTCTTGAGGGTTATAAAATATTTCAGATTTTATGGAAAAATTGCTCAAAGACAAACCAAAATTCTAAATAAAATTTCCAGCTTTATGCTATTTCAGACAAATAAAACCGGCTCAATAGAATAAGAAAGGTTTATTAACACTTGAAGGATTGAAAATGCATATTTTGCTACATACCTTTTGGAACAAGTAACAAGTTAGGTTCACCTTCTTTTAAGACTGATGGTAACTGCCGCCGAACATAGTCCGATTCTATATGGAAATAAAGAAAACGGTGATTGAAAGCAATCAACGCATAACTTAAAATATGAAAATTCATAACTAACAGATTTTAGTATGATTTCAGTATTGAAAAAATAGCGTTTGAGCGTCCTGATTGGCTCCCTCTGCAGTAACTGAGGCAATAGTTACTGCTCAGATTGCCCCGAGCAGTAACTATATTGGTTTTCCACCAAAAAGCTGAAAATCAGACGGAAGTAAATTATTTATGCAAATTATATTCATAAACACGTATACAATAGTTGTATTTATAAATAAAACTTCTTCAATACTGAAATTTTCCTAAAACAATTAGTCGCCCCAGTGATTACAAGCATATATTATACCTCAAATTCAAATTGTCCAATGAGAAAACATCATTTGTACCACGTGACAATGTGATTTTTACGGCATTTCACTCAATTAAAGATTTCGCAATGCAGCGTGAGATACTATAGCCTAATATCCACGGTAGATCCACCGACCACCGTGGGATATTATAGTATCTCACGCGTGACGCGGGAACGCCACGCTCTGAAACAATATGGCGTTCGCGAGCTGTTGTTTGTAATTTTGTACAGAAGATTTATTGATTTAACCAAAGATTTTCAAGACGTATGTTACCTTCAATGATCCCAAGAATACATGCTCAAATATTTTAAAAAGAAAACGTCAAAAACACAGGTATACATAAGAAATTAAAAATTGTATTCGCTTTATAGTTTTAAAGTTTAATATTCTGAACTTTGTCAGTTAGTGGGTTCTGTAACTTTCGGTCATATCATCACTGAGGGTAATGTTTTGACGAATCCCCCGAGCGGAGGGTCTATAAATCATAAATATTCACTTTCCCTTTGGCTCAGGATTCAGTCGCCTAATCACCTGGCCTTCGGCGACTAATTGCATGTTAAATATTCCTGCTGCACTGTATGTAAGAAAGTATGAAAGTCTGCATGTAATTTTAACAAGGGGATATTCTAGCTCCAAATTTTGTCTTGCTTGTCAAACAAAATCGCAATACCCAATGTTTTGCAAATAAATTTTACCTTTAAATTAGAAAGTCTATATTGCATGGTTGTCAAGTAGTATATATAGATTTATATCCTGTATAATGTATATATCAAACACAATGAAAGAAATTGATCAAATATTGTCATTAAAATTTTAAATAAGAACTAAAAACATCAGTGTAGTTTTACAGTTCGACCATCACATAACTGCATGCTATCTTCCAGGTTTATTGAATGTATACGGCCTTAAAATAATACTCTACCAGATTCTGAAAGTCTATCCAAAAGAGCAGCTAGAATTTCCAACGTGAGATAAGTATCTTCTTCGTTATTCACGTATGGTTTTAGGACAATTTGTGGCCTTTCAATTTCCCTAGAGATAAAATGAATATGCATATTAACATTGATGTAATGATGTTATTAATGTATATTATATATTTTAGATTGTACATTGTATATTAGTATAAATTTGGCATATGAAATGGCTTTCACGCGTTCTGATTGGCTAGATGACTAGTACATCTGACGGCAAATTTGGTTTCAAAATCGACGAAATATTGAAAACGAAAAAAGTACAAAATGTTGTATTTAACATGAAAGGTAGGATTCTTTTATTATTTTACTTTGTCAAACATATTCACTGACAATTTAAAACTTATTTAAAACTTCGAAACTTTAACGTTTACTCAAGCGTTTACTTCAAACAAACAGCAAAAACTATCTCGACTGATGGGAAAAGCCGGCAGTTCTTTTTTATAAAACAATTTTGCAATTGTATCCTAAAGATATCTCAATGGACCTATTCCCCAATGAACAAAATTTTGATCTAGACACGTCTAGACAAACATTTCACCACAGCTTGAAAGAGCATCACAAAATTAGTAATATTCCGAAGTTTCGTTGCGAAATGTTGTAAAATGCGGATAATATAGCCCTGCGAAGTTTGCCGTTTTTCAGTCATTTTGTATTACGCACGGGAAATTGATACCTTTTTTCAGAAAGCGGTAAGCGATCACTTTTATTGATTTATTTTTATTAAAAGTGTTAACATAACATTTTATTTAGCAAAAGTTTGTTTTTTACCCTATCTACTCCTTATTAAAATCGTGAAATACACTTGCTGGGAATTTCAGATGCTCATGTATAAATAACAAAACAGCGAATGATATAAATTCCTCAAAACATAACTCTCGCATAAAAAACATGAATACTTCTATAATATGTATAGTTTTATTCCAATGTATTATCAAAATTTAATAAAATAGTGAATTAATATAATTTTAAAGTTTATTTATTAAACGGTGTGACATAATTTGCCGCGAGATTCGTCTCTGTATATCTCTCCTCTGCGGTGGCCGGTTGTGCCTCAGGCCCGTCACACTCTACGTATAAAAGTAAGAGTGTCGATCATACGGCGCGAGAAGCAAACTGCAAACGTGTTCGCACTCTATCAATTTATAAAACTAGAAGTTACTATCGCAAGGAAAATGCTGCCTCACCACCAAGGGATGACACCATGCGCAATTTGCTGAAAAGGGGTTGTTTATACGATCCCGCTTCGCCAGGACGAGAAATGAGGCAGGATGATTTTGATGTATTGAAATGAGTCACAGTGCACAATTCAGCAAAAAACATTTTTCTAGAGATACAGTAGATTATAGTTAACTGTAAACAAAAGTAGCAATTATAACCTTCTTGAACTACAAGATCTTCTCTACAATATTTGAGTTCTGTTAACAAGCATTTGAACTTTTGTTAGTCTAGTGACATATTCCAATACATAAAAAATCATCCCACCATCCATCATGTAACAGGCACAGATTTTCTGGGGGGAGGGGGGGCGCACCCCAAGAAATGATTTACACCCCCCCCCCCCCAAAGACATTTGGTACCCCCGCAAATTACATATATTTTGATTTGATAGTTTCATATTTGATTATTCTTACTACTATAAATTTATAAAATTACCAATATTATGGTCTCAGATCTCGCCATGCAGGCCTAGAAAACAAATTTTGTTAAATTTTTTCCTTGGCCTTTCCGGGCGTTGCCACCACGCCCCGGCCAAAGCAAGCAGCAGCACCCCCCAGATATTTATCCACCCCCCCCCGAACGAAAATATGAAAATCCGTCTCTGTCATGTAAACAGGAAAAGTGGAAAGGTCAGCTAAATGCATATGAATACATTCAATGCTTATAACTTCTTGCTTTTGTATGTACTATTTAAAACACTGTCAGTGGTGAAGCTGACATAGCAACAGGTCATGCTATGAAAGTTTTTATTGATTTGCATTATTCAAATACATGCAGGTTTATTGGCGTGGCATAACCAGTTGCCATTCATGTAGCTAGCCTACCACTGAATACTGTACAAAATCATATTATATTATATAAACAATAATAATACTTGAATGAATCATTGGACATGTAGAATTTAATAATAATTCTATATATCGAAATATTAAGTCAGTTTTTGTCCCAATTATTATTTTAATGCAATAATGACACCTTCAAGGCTACGCCTATTGCAAAACAACTGAACAATCTGCTAGTGCTTGATGGAGAGAGTTTCAGCCCGGGCAATCGCAAATAATTTCAGCCCGGGCTAAAAAAACAACCATTTAAATGGCTTTATTTTGCATGTTTGTTTCATCTTTATTAAATACTTTACATATAACCACAGTCTCATGCACACAAGTCAAATAGTCGACTAATCAGCGTCTGATTGCTTCAAAGAAGCATAACAGGCTTATTGTCTTATTTCATGACACTCAAATTATCTCATGCAGCCTCAGCCCGGGTTGACTATAAATATAGCTCTGAGCCTCTGACTAAACTCTGCCCGGGCTCAAACTGCTCATGTAATCGTGATGCAATTTCAGCTCGTTTAACCTAGCCTACGGTGTAGACCCCAGCAGAAACACGTTTCGTGAGGGGTCTACGAATAAACGAAGAAAAGCTTGCCCAGCCTACGTCATATCCGTTTTACGTTTTGGGTAAATTAACTTCAATTTATTCAAATTTCTGAATCGTGCGTAAATGTAAATTTTCATTTGGTGCTTATTAAAATGTTCCATGGCGGGCTTTGCGCAATAAAATATACCCTGACTATATATATACCCAACCATTAAACACATGTCCAAACGGACTAAAAAGTTCTTGTCATTCGTACAAACTGTTAGGCTGTTGAAGGCTTGAAGCTTGTCAAGACATCCAATTTCTGAAGTCGAACACAAAGTCCAATTCACACTAAATGTAGCCGGCATAAACGTTTTATCGCAAGTCGGCTCGAATCCCAGTTTCCTCGCGACATTTCGCTTTACTTTAAGCGGTATACCAATAGCGTTTAATGCTGTTTCGTACACGTTCGTTATCGTATTGTCTAGCTTACATATTAAACCGTTCTTTGAAGCTTCTCCGTTTCACCGTTTGTTTACCAACGCCAGGCACGCTTTATAAATGCTATTAGTAGGTGAAATGGAGAAGGAAAGGTCGTCTGACTCCTTACGTATGTTCTCCTTGCTGTCCAAGAAATTAATATCGCTTTTATTCGACGGGACTTTGAAGCAAATAACACATTTGACAATTGTATTGCACAATGCCCGCCATGGAACATTTTAATAAGCGTCAAATAAAAATTTACATTTACGCACGCTTCAGAAATTTGAATAAATTGAAGTTAATTTATCCAAAACGTAAAACGGATATGACGTAGGCCGGGCAAGCTTTTCTTCGTTTATTCGTAGACCCTTCACGAAACGTGTTTCTGCTGGGGTCTACACCGTAGGCTAGTTTAACCGGGCTGAAACTCAGACCGGGGTGATCGAAAACTCTCCATGTAATCAGCCCCTAAGATTGTACTCAGTCAGAACTGCAAAACTATATAATACAATTGTGAGCATTATCAAAAAATATAGTGTACTCTGAGACAGAGTACTTTAGTGACAGTCAGGTAAATATATAAATGTAGGCTGGTAGGATTATTTCATATTATGCTATTAAACAATGGACATATCTCAGAGATATATTTTTACAAAAGTCGGTTGACAACTTGACATGTTATTTATACATGTAACTGCTGGTAAGTTAATATGTGCAGACAACAATCCACACTGGGTTGCTATAGGAATATCTTTGTACAAGTCAGACAATTTTACGATACTGCTCAATCGATATTGCCAAAATAACAATCACTGTGATTATTTATCCCTTAGAAGTACGATGTTTCATCAAGCCTACGATCAAGCTCAATCAGACTTTTCTCATAATACAAACTGATAAATATGGACGAAGTGACGAAGTCCACTTGTACTAGTGACTTGTTGACTTGTTTACTATGAAGTTTGTATGCACCTAAAAATGTAATAATTTAAATACAGTTAATTCATTCGCTTCAAGTTTCAGCGCGTATCGACCAAAACACATTGTTATTTGTGATCAAACTTTCATCTTACCTTGAAATTTAATTAAAAGGATTTCGAAATATTTCGATAAACAGCCAGAGCCCATTTACTATTCGTACAGCAACGTGTTTACAAATTGTCATGGTCCACGGTGCTGTTCGCCAGTTTCGACTAGTGTATTCGGAAAGTTAAATCGCGCTCTGGAGTATGTTATATTTTTTAAACTTTCTGTGACGTCAAAAAACGTCATAAATCTGATCATCTTTCCGTATGTACAAACATCCCAAATTGACTTCTTGGCTGCATATAATTCGCGAACTGGAAACGGACTGGTGAAGAATAGTGTGCTGCCTTCGGCAGCAATAATATTTGGCGTTTCGCTTGTGGGATGCAAAATAATATATATATTGGTAAGATTGCGCATGCTTAACCACATTAAAGCGTATATACTGCGCATGCTCAACCTTGTGTTACGTCCCACAAGCGTAAGAGTTGTTTTGTGAATAAAACCTCCAGGATCATGAAATAAGTTAGTTAAACACCTCGAGCGTCGGTGTTTAGTCATATACATCCCTGACTAAATACCTCCGCCCTCGGTGTTTAACTCTAAGTCTCTAACTAATTTCACATGTGAAAATTATCGATTTTCAATTATCGCTTTTCTGTAAAAATTATCGCTTTTCAAAGACTGTCCTTTATATTGGAAATAGCAGATTTATTTCTCGTGTTGAACATGACATCTCACTCGTTCGCTGCGCTCACTCTTGAGATATCATGTTCAACACTCGAAATAAATCTGCTATTTCCGCGCACATATGTAGTATTAGATAGCTTAAGATCTACGACGTCGACGTCAGCTAGAACGTCAGGGCTAAGCAGAGGACTGGGACTAGGATGTCGTCCTAAATAAATAGATAGCTCAATATCTACGATGTCAAATATTTAGGACGGCAAGCGGAAGTAAATTGGTAATAGTTTTTAAAGTCTTTGAAGTGTGCATGTGTCTCTCTCAATTTGCTCGTCGTCCACCAAACGTCGACAACCTCACAACAACAGTTTTACCGTCGTGGATACAAGAGCATAGCAAACGGTAATGAATTAATGTGTCTCTTTAAAAATCATTTTCAAAAGAATGTAAATATTTATAGTTAAAATGTCTACGTCGTGAATCTTAAGTGGAAGTTTATTTATTTAGGACGACGTCCTAGTCCCAGTCCTCTGCTAAGCCCTGACGTCCTAGCTGACGTCGACGTCGTAGATCTTAAGCTATCTATTATCTATGTATATTGTTATATTGTATATTATTATACTGTATAATGTATATTGTACATTGTACATTGTACATTGTACATTGTAGGGGTTTCCACAAGTTGCTCGGCACCTTTTTGGCAACTTTTCATTTTATGAATAACTTTTGTTTTAAACGGCAACTTTTGTAACTTGTAAGTTGCTCCAAGATACAAAAGTTGCCGTTTAAAACAAAAGTTATTCATCAATTGAAAAGTTGCCAAAAAGGTGCCGAGCAACTTGTGGAAACCCCTAGTACATTGTACATTGTACATTGTCATTTTACATTGTACATTGTACATTGCACATTGTACATTGTATATTGTATACAATATACTTGCTAAGCTCTGGATATCCTTGCACTATTCATCTCCGGACAGAAACAACATTGCTTCGATCCCGTTTCGTTCGTGTTACTGACAAGCAAACTTTTATCCCCGAGCCGGCGGCGCGAAGCGCCGTGCGAGGGTACTAATTCCCCCCGGCTATTTACACCCGGGGAAACGAAAGCATTAGCGGAGTCTAAAGTTCATCAATGAGCGCGGGCGTCGGTCACCAACGATGGGTGGTCATCCTCACTGATCTCAAAAATATGGCGGACTGTCATGAATAACGGACACTGATTGGTCCAATTTAAAGTTTGCATTGTAACGACTGCATGACGACAGCGAAATAGCAAACATTTCTTGATTTGATGAGTTGATGATTGATAAATTTCTTGCAAATATTCTTCATTTTTGCTCGTATTTCTGCAAGATTTTGTAAATTTCAAGAAAGAAAGGGCGAAAGAATCAGTTAAAAGAAGGGAGCCGACGTTAACGAAGGTAAGTTTGTTTTAAATATTGATTTTATAATGGCTTTAAAACCCGATGGCCTTTGCGTATATGAAACAACTAAACAAGACAGCATATAATTTCAGTGTATCTTTAATATTGATTCCCTTTTTTATTATATTGAATTTTTTAAATAAAAAATAAAGCAAAGTTATTTGCAAGCGAGAATTTGAAATCATTTTATTGCAAACTCAAAGTTTATCGATAAAGCCATTTAATAGTTAAAGGCAGTTTAGTTTTATAAAGAACAATTTAAAACGTTTTGTGAATTGTTTGTGGTTGAATTTTACCTTAAATTGAAGCTTGTATTAAGATATATGTGTTAGGTATGTAATTATACGTGGGAAATTGATAATTTTGTAATTAAAAGTGATATTTATAGGCGATTTTCATTTGTAAGAATATTCTTAAAAAATTATCGTGTTACCATGACAACTACTTTAGATACTTCATGTTCGGAAAATACAACGGTTTTGTCAGCAAGGCGAGGGTTTCTGCATGCGTGTATTTTCTAGTACCAAATGAATATGTGGTTTTGCTAAACACAAACAAAGTCCCAATAAATCTGGATGTTCAACAAAACATCGTGCCTGACAAAAAGAAGAATTGAAGTGTACTTGTCTTTGACTCTTTGTTCTTGTTGCGAGTGCAAGGAAGGTCTCGCCGAATGCGTTCCGGAACGCGCCTGGAACGCATGGGTTTAAAACGCGTTTTTCATTAGGTTACTTCTGAATAGTACTGTATTGTCGCTTTTCTTCCGAATCACATATCGTTTGGAATATTAATGACAACGTTTTTCAAAATTTGCTTTAAAATTTAGAAGAAAAAAACAGGCGTTTACAATTTAAGTATTCATCACTCCTTATTTTTATTTTGTCGGCCATCTTGTTGTTATGCGTGTTGTCTCGCGTGGTCTACGCGAATAATGTTCAACCCCATTTTCCCCGGGAAACATGGGTGGAACATTGTCAAAAGGAACGCAGGCTGGCTAATTGATGACGTAAGGCGTGATATCGCGATTGATATCATGCTCACGTGCCACAAACTGAGCTTCCTGATTGGACAATACGAAGTTAAGGTAAAATATAAAACATGTTACATGTTACATATTACATATTCGAAAAAAGGTTCGAAATTGAAAATAATATTTCCATTTCTTGCTTAATGGAGAACATAATTCTTAAAATTCCACTGTTGCCAACTGTGTGGAAATTAGTGGTTAATGTGCGTGATCAAACATGTTGCGAATTTCAAAAGCTAAAAAACTAAAAAAGAAAGCGGAACACCTGTATTCTCACATCAAATTAATTTACTTTACTCAAGAATATGGCAGCCATAAATTTTTCTTACTTTGTTTCCTGTACAGACGAAATAGAAACAAACTTACGTTTCATTTGCAGTCATATTACACAAAAATGTTTCTTCATCATTTATAGCCTGGAATTCCGGACCAAAGACATCTTTCACCAGATCTGACAAACGTGGGTTTTTCTTAGCTTTTTCACACAACATTGTAACAGTTTCTTCATCATAATCATCAGAGGCAACCCAGGCAACAAGTTCATCCTCTGTTGCACGCCGACCGCAATGTTCTAAAGCAGCTAGTAAATATTCTTCACTATAATTCATGGACATACCCTCAAGAGTTTCTTTTGCAGCAGTAAATGTTTCAAGTGAATTCTTCCGTTTTCGCATGATTGGCTGAATCACATCTATTTCTTCTTCGACATTTTCCAACAGAATTTCCTCACCTCCTGTGTCATTTGCAAAATATTTTTGTTCATCTTTAAAACCTTCCTCTGTCAAAAATATCGAATTCTCAGGTATCATTTTTCTTAAAACATTTGCAAGAAGCAAAGGATCAATAGCCTTGTTAACAGCTTCTAGGAGCATAAAAGTCTGTAAAGGTAGTTCGTCCATCGCCACCAGGCCAATGCAAGCTTTTGCTAACTCTTTTCTCAAATTCAAAATCTGTTTCATTGTAAAATGGTTTAACGAATAGCACTTGTGTCTTTCACCATTTATATTTTTCTTCCATTGCTTCAACTTGTTTTCCATTGTTTCACAGGTTTTATCAATGTTGTCCAACAACTCTTCTCTGCAGCCTTCGATTTTACTGCACCGAAATTTGGTTTTCCATGTTAGGTTGCTGATCTCGCCAACTTCACAAAGTTGCAAGTACAAATCACTCACCCTGAGTATTCCTTCAAAAACCTGAAATAATATTAAACACCAAATATTGTAAATATTCTAGAATTACCGATTTTTACCATTACAGTTAAATATGGTCGTTTTTATGGTCATTTTGAAATGTTCATTCAACCATTAAAACTGCTTTTGCTGATAAACTGTTTTTATTTTCTGTATATACTGAATAAGTTCAAATTTTTGAGGAATTTCAGTTTGGTCTCCTTCACATTTTGTTCTTTTTCTTAAATTAAACTTGAATAATTTAGGAAACTTACAGCTTCATTCAAAAGGAAAGCCATGCATGTTTTGGGCAAAAGATTAAAGCAACAACATATGAAAACATAAACATTGAAAACAAACTTGCCAATTATTTCACCATTTTCCATAGTTAATCACTTCACACTTCTTCAAACAAAAATTGCTTTAAAGCACATTCTATGAAACGATTTTTCAAATATATGTTTTTGAAAATTGAAATCTTGTTTATCCCACCTCTGCTAAACCATAGTCTTTCGAGACATGGTCTGGAAAATCAGTAAACTTCAAAGCGGTTATAATGAGCTGTGTGTTTATGTTGAACCGTACCTTACACCGTGCACATCCTTTGTTTTAGGTTTATCCCCGAGCCGACGGCGCGAGGCGCCGTGCGAGGGTACTAATTCCCCCAGGCTATTTACACCCGGGGAAACGAAAGCATAAAGTTTATATCAAAGCGAAGTCTAAAGTTCATCAATGATCGTGGGCGTGGGTCACCAACGGTGTTGGAGTGTTGGAGTGTTGGGTGTGTGGTCATCCTCACTGATCTCAAAAATATGGCGGACTGTCGTGAATAGCGGACACTGATTGGTCCAATTTAAAGTTTGCATTATAACGACTGCATGACGACAGCGAAATAGCAAACATTTCTTGATTTGATGATTGATAAATTTCTTGCAGATATATTTCATTTTTGCTCGCATTTTTGCAAGATTTTGTAAATTTCAAACGCATTCTCAGAAAGAAAGGGCGAAAGAATCGGCTAAAAGAAGGGAGCCTACGTTAACGAAGGTAAGTTTGTTTTAAATATTGATTTTATAATTGCTTTAAAACCCGACGGCCTTTGCCGTATATGAAACAACTCAACAAGACAGCATATAATTTCAGTATATCTTTAGTACTGATTTCCTTTTTTATTATACTGAATTTTTTAAATAAAAAAAGAAAGTAAATTTACTTGCATGCGAGAATTTGAAATCATTTTATTGCAAACTCAAAGTTTATCGATAAAGCCATTTAATTAAAGGTAGTTTAGTTTTATAAAGAACATTTTAAAGCGTTTTGCGAAGCGTTTGTGGTTGAATTTTACCTTAAGTTGAAGCTTATATTACGTATAATAACATACCTAACATATATATGTTGGGAAATTGATAATTTTGTAATTAAAAGTGATATTTTTAGGCGAGTTTTCATTTGTAAGAATATTCTTAAAAAATTATCGTGTTACCACGACAACTACTTTAGATACTTCATGTTCGGAAAATACAATGGTTTTGTCAGCAAGGCGAGGGTTTCTGCATGCATGTATTTTCTAGTTAATATTTAAATAACATGGTTGAACGACTGAACTGAAACGTTGCTATTGGATGATTCGTTCAATATACTGAAATACAATGTGTTCATTGACCGTGCACCGTGCACAAAACAGTATAAACGCGATCAAAAAGATAAAACAAAAACTTTAGCGGAGTTTCCAAACCATGTTTTGAACAACTTTGGCTAAACAATTTTATAATATAATATTTGTAAATTCTGAACGCTGATTGGCTAAGATCCGTGTTGATAACTCAATGTCAACACGAAAACGTCGGAAAATTTCTTTCTTCATATATTTCTTTGTGCTATATTATAAAACTAATATAAAACATTTTTCCGTATTGATATACAGTTTTATAAAATAGCCTTTTAAAAACACGGGCGCTGATTGGTCAAAAGCTCAAAAAACCCGTGTTTCTATAACTCGATAGAAACACGGGGAATTTTCACGCGGGTTGCATGGGAGTTTAAAAGACAAAATACAAACAATATTTAATTTTGAAAAAAGTTAAAAACGTCCCGAAACGCCGAAGAACCGTTACAAAAAAAAGGCAACACTTTGCTAACTTAGAAAGCGAAGACCTAAAGCACAAAGTATAATAGCACACGTTGTATCTGTTTGACTGTTTACCAAGGTAAGATATTTTAATCATGTTTACTAATCACGTTTTTAATCATGTTTACTATAGGTTTTAACCAAATTTTCACGCGTGTTTCTATAACTCTATAGAAACACGGAAAATGTTTTCTATTTCTTAAATATCAACACCCGTGGGAATTAGCCTCCTCCGCAGGCCTCTCTATGGGTTTTAGCCTGCGAATGTGTTTTGAAAAAAAAAATTTCTGTAAGAGAGGCCTGCCATAAATCGTACAAAATGGACGTGTCAATGCACCTTAGTGGTCAATTGAAAGGATTATATATCGCAATGGCTCTCGCGGTCTAAAAACGACGTGCAAATTTTGAATCGCTCGCTCGAAGCAGCCAAATGACCCAAATGTTTACAATGTCTACAATGTATTTAGGCTATACTGTAATGAATGTATGGGTTCAGAGTTCCGCTCGATTGTTCAGCCGACAGCCAAGGAACAAACAATTTGAGGAAATTATCTGGCATAATTTCGAAGAATGGAACGATAGGAAAGGTATAATTTGTTTAATAAAGGGATTATATTAAATTATATGGTTTTCTGTAATATTATTTTGGCATGTTTATTTATATGAAGGGATTGATATTTTGATGATATTTTACTAATTTTAGTCAAATCATCAGACATTTGGCAACATGTTAAGTGAATTGATATATAAAAGGAAAATATCTTTCTGTTGAAGCAACCATTTCAATAAGTGAGGCGAGATAACAACTTGGAAATATCAACTACAGAAATTTGATTACTAGGCCTACAAAAATCAAGATTTTGTTGGCATCTTAAGCCTGGTTTACATATGCCTGCATTATCATTGTTTACAGCTGTTGATGCATACATTCTTTTGTGAATTATTTAGTTGAACTTTTAACGACAATAGCCCATCAACAAACAGCAGGTATACAGCTATTTCAATTAAGGTTGTCCACGAGCAAAACGGAATAGTCGAATACGAGCGCGAAAGGCTGCTGGGAACCGCTTTGAAAATTTATTAATTTAAACATAAATATTATATGTATCTCCCATAACAAATCTAGATCGGCATGTATCATGTAAGAGCCTACAATGCCAGGGGCCCACAACAAGTTCTTGTTGTCACGCCCCTGCTTTTACTCTGTCTAACATCAGACAATTTTGCTACTCCAGGGGAGAGTGCAGACAATGGGTTAATCTAAAGCTTCACAGCTTACAATTAATATATAGCCACCATTGAAAGACTTTTGGGTGGTTGTAATGTAACAATTAATAGCAAAACATGCAGGGATGGATTTACTGGGGGGAGGGTGCACACCCCCCTCCCTAGCCCTGGCCAGGGGTGTGTGCTATTTTTCATAATAAAGCAAAAAATATTAGAGACAAAATGAGATATTGTACACAGTACACTTGTACCGCATGGAGGTTGTTTTGCCAAACTGTCAGAATACTGCTGTTGCTGTATGTTAATGGGCGGGCTGCACACATGACACAACTCGAGTCACTCGACACCAGAGCTGGGAGAGCACCCCTCCTACCAGATCATGCTAGATCCATCCCTGAAAACACGTCTATCACTGGGAAGTTTCCTCAGTGACTGTTTGTATGGTTATAGGGAAATTTGCCTTGCAAAATGGATTTTACCCATGTAACTATTTTGTCTGTGAACTTTGGCAAGCAAAATGGAATGTAATGCCTCCATTGGTTAATTAACAAATCCAAGGCAAATGTTATTAAGACATGTCTTTATACCCTGTTGCACCACATAAACCGTCACTTGGAAAACTATTAGATTCTTATTAAATTCCAGTTGTCTTTTCCCTTATGTCTACATAACTCACACCCATATATATAACAGGGCCACTGATTTAAGAAAGCTTTTGCTAATTTTCGCCACATCTGAGACACTCAAGTTTGAAAACTTTGTCTTTGTCCAAGGGACCAAGGGATAAATTGCACAGTGTATTCCACAATAAGAAAGCTATTTGTTTAAGACTTTTATTAATGATTTCTTTCCATACAAGCGTATTAAAACAAGACAAGAGGTGTTTATATATTTACTACACAGGCACAGTCACAGATGTCAACAGTTGAATTTACATTTATATTGACAATTTTCGATCGTTCCTTTTCGTGTTATAATTTCGACTAAATCACTGCACTGTCAGCTTATTATGATATAAAATGTCGTCAACAATTTGAATAGAAATTTGTATATATCAACGATAAACTTTCAATTGAAACCTCGTCTTGACATGAGTCGACGACAACGTGAATTCACTGCTCTGCAAAGTCACTCGTTGTCTCTAAACAATCCCAGTAAATCGCTGCCTCGGCTCACGATAACATTCTCAGCTCCTTACTCAAAGTTCCCTCTGTGTTTGCAATGTTAAAGAGCAGGATTATTCGTTAATTTTACAGTTTTACTCGTCTTGTAAGCCATCGTGTTGAAAACAAAATTTTCTTCACTCCTTGCCGTAAGCCCTTCCTACTCCCCCTAAGTTTGAGTTTGTCGAAATTTGCATGCGCTAGCCGGTATGCGCAGTGCAAATTTTTGTGTCGATTTATGGCAGGCATCTCACCAAACTTTTTCTCACCACCCGATTCCTCAGTGAGATGCCTGTGGAGGAGGCTAAGAAATATAATCATGTAAGCCCATTACTTCAAGATCTTAAGTAGCTAACAGTCGACAAATTGCTCTATTTCCGTGATGCCGTTATAGTCCAGTAAATCTGTGACCAGAGGTCAAAGAAATTGCAATAGCATTTTTTTCAGTGGTAAAACGTGAGAGAAGGTGTCCTGATTAACATACTAAAAATAAAAAAAATCCCTTCGGTGGAACATGGTGAAAATCGAGTTTTTCTTACTTCTACCTATAGAAAACCATTGTGGACAGAATGTTCAAATTTTGAAATCATTTTTAGGCAAATGTAACCTACATTATTGGAAAGCTTAAACAAAACTATAGAAAGGTCAATTAAACTGTTATATTCAATTTACTGGTCAGTTTGTCGTTATTCTAGCTCAAAGTTGAAAAAATAGCGCAAAATTTGCACAAAATACAAATTTATGGCAGTTTAAATCTTTTAGAACTTCGGCTGGATAACAACCTTTTAATGATTTATATTTTAGTTTTTTCTAAGCTTTCCAATAATGTAGGTTACATTTGCCTAAAAATGATTTCAAAATTTCAACATTCTGTCGACAATGGTTTTCTATAAGTAGAAGTAAGAAAAACTCGATTTTCACCATGTTCCACCGAAGGGATTTTCTTTTATTTTTAGTATGTTAATCAGAACAACTTATCTCACACTTTACCACTGAAAACAAATCTATTGCAATTACTTTGATCAGGACCATGTACTTACAGTACTGTCCAGAAATAACCTAACAGTGCGGCTGCGGTTAGGTTGCGGTTAGGTTGCGGTTAGTTTGCAGTTAGGTCGCGGTTAGGCATGCGGTTAGGTTGAGGTTCGGTTGAGGTTAGGTTGCGGTTAGGTTGAGGTTAGGTTGCGGTTAGGTTGAGGTTCGGTCGAGTTAAACCACATTGAAACCACAAGAGAAACCGCAAATTATAAATGTTTTACTAATGCCGTAATGGTAAATTACATGGCAATGCCAATACCTTGACTGCATGTGCAGAAGTGGCGGGTACATGAGTTTTAATGTAACATATAGGTTTTTTAAAGATGTAAATTTTCCAATAAACCGGAACATAATTAATCTCCGTGAAATAAATTAATAAATAATCGAATGTCACTACCTTTAAATATATGTAGTATACGTATATATTATAGCTGTGTGCGCTAATGCTTTTGCTTCAAGTTTTATGACCTTTTATCACAGCGTCCATAGCTATATATATAGCATATATACATTAGCTAAATTAGGCAAAGGCTGCGAAAAGCTAAGCAAAAATGATCCGACTACGTCACCAGCAAAGCGTTTTTGCCTAGCATCAGTGAAATATTCGTAACATTTTTCATGACAGAACCTTTGAAGAACATACAGTATATTTTAAATACAAGCCGATTTCCGTGAGTTGCCAATCGTAAACTGCTATTAAAGGCAAAAAAAAATGGCGGACTTATATTCGATACTGTATTCGTTACGCGGTAGTAAATCTAAAGCGCATGCAGTGCCTTGAATTCTAGTTTACCAATCTGAAATTTCCGATTCTACTAATCTTTAGGTTTGTAGGGAAAAACATATACACGCTAACACGCGGTAGTAAATTACTAAATACTACAGTAATCTGGTGTTATCAAGTACCAATTAGATAACTGTAGTTGCTGTGTATATAGCGGAATACCGATTCTGTATATATATACATACATACATACAAGAATTTATTTAGGCACGCTGGCCTCAACAACTCGGGGCTGATTTCCATGAGGGGCGTGATTTGGACAAATATACAGTACAGGTAAACATTAAAAATACAAAAGCAAAGAAAGAAGAATTACATATACAGTAGGCAACAGGACGAGCCAATTTTAAGTGTTTGCCTGATTAATAGTTCTTTGAAAAGAACTTAAAGATCCCGCTACTTTTACCTCATACGGTAAGTTATTCCATACTACCGCTCCGTTATATTTGAAGCATCTTTTACCAGAATCGGTATTCGGTTTAGGAAGAGACAAATCGGTTTCTCTATTTCTAAGATCATAGGTATTATCACATTCATTATTCAATCGAAAGGATGTTCTTAGATTTGGTGCGGTGTGGTTATTCAGAATTTTATACATGAAAACAGATTTTAGAGAAGTTCGCCTTAGTTCTAGGTGTTTCCAACCCAGGCTTTCAAGTAAATCAACCGACCGAACATCGTAAGTCGCACTAGAAATTACTCTTGCAGCCCGATTTTGAAATTTCTGCAACCTGTCCTTGAGGCCTATTCCACAGTTGTCCCAGAGAGGGCTGCAGTAATCAAAGTAAGGCTGCACAATAGCATTGTACATCAATTTTAGTGTCGCAGACGATACGAAGGGCCTAATACGTCTTATAGCACCGATTCCCGCACTGACTTTTGAACATATCATATCAATATGTTTTTCCCAGGTCAATTTTTCGTCAATGTTGACACCAAGGCAAGTATAATTTTCAGTCCTGGGTATTGGAACGTTATTAACAAGAATTGGGTTGCCAGATACCTTATGTTTAATATTATACGCTGATCCAATAAACATATATTTCGATTTTGTCGGATGAATTTGGAGCTTATTTTGTAGCATCCATTTTCGAATATTTTCAAGATCTAGGTTTATTTTAATAACAATGTCATCACAATCTTTAGAGGATAGATAAATTTCTGTGTCATCTGCGTAGAGGGATGGAGTTGAATATTTTAAGGAGTCAGGCATATCGTTTATGTATAATAGGAATAATAAAGGGCCCAAAATAGATCCCTGCGGTACACCACATTTCATTTTTCTCGGGCTCGATAAATGACCGTTTACCAGACATTGCTGCTCTCTATCAGATAGATAAGACTTGAACCAATTTAGTGGAATTCCTGATATACCAAAGTAGTTAAGCATCTTTTTTAATAATATTTCATGGTTTATACAATCAAAGGCCTTACGTACATCAAGGAACACGACACAATTTATTTTGCCATTATCCATATTCTCAAGTAGATCGTCACACATTTGTATCAAAGAGGACAGTGTGGAGTGTTTAGGTCGAAATCCCGATTGAAACTTGGAGAGTAAGAAATTATCAGAAACAAAGCTATAAATTTGTCTAAAAACATCTCTTTCAAAAACTTTGACGTCATCAACAGCCGCAAGATAATCTGGCAATCATTAGCTAAGTTGGCTATTGTGTTGTCATTCACGAATGGAAAGTTGCTAAATTCTTCGAGTGTAGCAGCATCTGGCTTTAGTTGTTGGACTTGAACTGGGCAACAAAGACGTGCGACCTTTACAATATAATAATAACGGTAATAATATAATTATTATTAAAATAAATTTTTTCTGATTTCGAAATGAATATAACAAGGATAAATCAAATATTAGTTTCACGTAAACATGTAATTCCACAATGAATGCGAGTTAATAACAGGCATACCTTAAAAGCGCGAACAATTGTGTGGAACTGCACGCTGAACTTTTCCTGAAAAAAGAGCAGTCCGGGTTGCACACATGCTGTTGCCTGAGTAATGAGCTGGTTTTGAACCACAACGTCACCGTTGGCAATTTCTCGAGCAATAGCAGAGGTGCTTGGAAAATTGGCTCCAATGGCATTACTAACAGCTGATAAACGCTCGTAACAGGAGAAAATTAACGGCCCGTCACCTTCCAAATAGTAGGTTGCCTTGACAAATTGTACACCAGCGTCAACAATTACAGCAAGCTCCAAACGGAGATCCTGAAGATCGCGAGGGTTGTCAATTATCTCCAAAAGATGTTGGCGTGTTGCAGGGGAGAGATTCTCATTTTCTCGCAGGAAGGGCACGACATCACCAAAATATTCATAGACTTGTTTTTGGACCTCCCACTTACTCCACCATCGTGTATTACTGTAAGTGCGCATTGATTGTCCAGTTCTCTCTTTCCAAAGAAGTTTGGCATTATAGCTATTGGCAAACAAACTTATCCAATGGCGAAAAAATATATCCAGAACTCTAAATTTGAAATGGGTTCCCACATTATCAATGGTATGAGAAAAACAAGTAACATAAAAAATGTTAGGATAAAAGAATGACAGCTGTCGTATTGCAGCCCCATTAACTGCAGCGCCGTCTCTCATTGTGGCGAGTACCAAATTTGGACCAAAGTTATGATTTACGACAAGACACGACATCAATCGCTGCGCTAGTTCTGAACCCTTTAGCGGCTTTGCAAGAACTTCCAAGCATATTAGGCGCTGCGTAGGCTTGAAATTCTCCTGCACATAACGTATCACAATTGCAAGAGCCTCGCCAAGTCGGGCTGTTCCATCAAATATCATAGATACTTCCTGCACGTTTTGGATTTCAGCTTTGATTTTCTCGCGTGCTTTCTCAAGTACCGATGGAATGATATCTTTCATGTGGCTAGCGCCGGTTAACCTATATAATCAATGAATATTTAACCACTATTCAATTACACATTAATCATGATACGTGGTGTTGTGTTTTCCACACCTACCCAAGATGCAGCAACCACCACATCGTAAATTTCATTTAACATAAGGACTTAGAGATCTTTTATCAAATTACAACATTATATTCTAGTGCTAATGTCCCATTTATTACCTGTGCCCAGCATACTTTTCAAGAAAAGGACGCATGATGTCAAGCTTTGAAATTTCTATACCAGCTAGCAGAAACGTCTCTACTATTTCAAAACGAAACAGCCTCATATCCTCAGGTAAAGTTGAGCCGCTCGCACGATCGCGTATATCTTGCTTTTTTAAACACTCCAAAATAGTCTGGTTCTCCTTTTTGCTTTTGGCGATGCTTGCAATTCCGTTTACATGTTTTTTCGATTGGACGTGCTTCTCGATGGAACTTTTTTTAATACTAATTATCTCACTGCAGGCATTACATCGTAACTGCCCATTTTCGTTGACGAAATGTTGACCAGGGAAATCTTTTAGTCTGTCCCAAACACAGGTATCATTTTTCGAGTGATTTTTCATACGACTTGCCTTGTATTTCCCACTGTTTTTTACGATTTTCCGCTTCCTCGAAATAGCAGCTCGATCAGGCTCTGTAATATTGGCTCCTTTATTTATTGCCAGTTGAATTGGGTTTGTGACAGCGTCATCTTCTTCGCTTGAATTTGACGACAATACGTCCGCCATATTTGATTGACAGCTTTGCGACCACTGATCTATTAGTGTTTCTGGTATATCATCGGCTAGAAGCGCCCGCACTCTGTCAGGGTCAGATGATCAGATCATGGTTAATATTTGAAACAAGTTCAAACAACACAACACTATACTTGGCATAATTTTTGCACACGGCGATTCTGGAGGAATTTTGTTTATTCAAGTGGTTCACATTGGAGTATAAATATGTTCTAAGTTATGGTGCCGGACTATTTGTTCAAAGTTGCTAAAAAGAAGCAAAATTTTGGAACAGTTGCTCGAAGTTGCTCGTCAGCAAAAAAGTTGCTCCGAGGCCAAAAAGTTGCCGAGCACAACCTGGCTGTGCCTACCTACCAGAGCTGGACCTTGTGCTGCATTATACGCAGTCGTTCCTGGTCAGGTCTTAAAGTGTATCTTGAATTACAAACCCTAAAAACCGCATTAACATACTTTTATAACTGTTTTTAAAAAGGGTTTATTATCATGCACTCTTTGTTCAGAATAATATATATTCTATATTTGCTGAAATTATCAGCCAGAAAAATATTCAGCCTCGGACTTCGGCTGCGTTTTTTATTTCTTCCTTTTCAGGATGCCTAGCGGTACCATCAAGGGCGATTAATGTATTTTCTAGGGCTACAAAGTTGGAAATTTGAAACGTATTAGTAAAACCATATATTAACCAATACTTTTTCAAAGTTAGAAGCATGCCTAGTGCAAAAATGTTATTATTTGTGGAATACTGTACATTAACGATTGCAAATCGGGATGATTTTGATCATACATTGCGTGGTTGGACCACAATGCTCATAATATATACCCCCTACAATTTCTCCGCGGATTTTTTAACTTTGCATGAGAATAGTTTTGGGACAATTGGGGAGAATTCTTACTAGTCAATTTCTGTTTTTGTTGAGATCGTGTTACGGTGCCCCCTCCTAGCCCCCCCTCCCCCACCTTGGCTCTGGTTTGTTATGCTCTTGTATTTACGACGGTAGAACTCTTGTTGTGAGGTTGTCGACATTTGGTGGACGAATAGAGAGAGACACAAACACACTTCAGAAACTATTACCAATTTACTTCCGCTTGCCGCCCTAAATATTTGACGACGTAGATACTTGAGCTATCGACATATTTAGGACGACGTCCTAACCCAGTCCTCTGCTTAGCCCTGACGTTCTAGCTGACGTCGACGTCGTAGATCTTAAGCTATCTAATGTTCCTGAAGGGAAGCTAGTCATGGGAAACATGGCAGTTGAGAGACAACAAAACATGCTGTTACCCTCGATCCCACTAAATAAGAGTTAATTAATTGTAAAAATCTTAGTCTTGGGGTTCAACATACATCGGCTGTGGCGTCGATAGAAAGCTCTTCTTTGAAAGGATAACACAAGTCTATAAAAGACAAAATATACTTCTCGATATTTCGAGCAAAGGCCCTTCCTACTAATTTTCCATGACCAAATTATATGCCTCACAACACCAAGAAGTATATTTGTTTATAATTATATAGGCTTGTTTGACCTTTACAACCAAGAGTTTATTCAATAATTGTATATTGTGTCAGGTATTAATTGTGATCAAGTACTTCTCACAGCTAGTGAGTTAGGTCTATGACGACCTGGCCTAATACAGTGCAGTTGGTGGCATTTGGAAAGTTGAAACAACAATATTTCTGAGTTTATCCCCGAGCCAACGGCGCGGAGCGGGTACCACTGTAATTCCGCCAGGCTATTTACACCCGGGGATAAGAAAGCATTAGCGAAGTCTAAAGTTCATCAGTGATCGCGGGCGTGGGTCACTGTGCGTGTTTCGGTGGGTGGTCATCTCACTGATCTCAAAATATGGCTGTTTGCCGGGAGTGAAGAAGGCAAAAATATAAAAATTCATGTAAGAAAGTTTGGAAAATCGTTTCACATAACTTTTTTCATGTTTTATAGTAAAGATTATAAATAAAATTGCGTTTCATTCTTTTCTGGGACATCACAAAACCATGGGAATGGGTTTTGTGATTGGTTGATTGTAAAAATGACAATAAAACCAAAAAGGAATCACATGTCTTGGTAAAAACTGTTAGTCAAAGCCTCTCAAGGAATACTAGGTAACTTAAAAATTTATACCCGGATCGACCTGACACTACATGGTGTATAAAAGAAAAACTGCACAGTTCGAAAATGTCAGCTACATTAAACTGCGAATTCCCCCAAATTTGTGAAAACTTTTTGCAAGCAGGGGAAGTTTTGGGTCTGCTTATTTCGAAACGTAAATGTTCGAGTGCGGGAAGGTTGTTTTCAAATTAAAACTGGCTTGCGCACAAAAATGCTTAAAACGCAATATGAATTCAAATTCGAAAGATGTTGTTTGGATTATCAAAGTACCAGCCAATTTCATGTTTCTGACATAGTATATATAGCCTTTCACGCATAATTTTTTAACTTTTTGTAAAGATAATATATATAAAGGTAACTTTTCACTCACATTACCAGAAATATGGGACATTTTGCTCCCGCTTTAGTTGTCAGCGGCTAAGTCAGTTTTATATGCCTAACATTGCCTAACATAAGTAAAACGACTTCGCATTTTACTTTGAATCTCCAATTCAAGTATTATTCAACTAAAACCCGTAATTTTAAACTATATTTTGCAGTTTTTGCTGAGCATTTCCGGCATTTTGACCTTTAACCCCGCAAATTTTTATCAAGACTAAAAATATCGCAAATATCCTAAAAAATCCTAAAATATCCCTGTGTTTTTATGTGAGAGAGCCTGGATCTAGTCTTTCAAAATAAACAAAAAACATGGCTGCTCGAAACAGCTCAAATTTGTATTAAAACTTGTCGTTTTTGGATGTTAAGATGGCCTAATGGCGACATACAAGAACCGTAAAAGGCGAATTTTTAAACGTTTCGGGAACCAGCTTCCCTGGAAATTACAGCGATTTATTTAACTAAATTAACAGTTTGGACATCATTAAATATATCGCGAACTCGGCACTTTGCATCGCCCGAATGGATGTTGGTCTATTCGTCGGATATTCACCTCTTGTGTCACAAGTTTACTATAATTTACACTATGAAATTCATCGAATTCCGAGTAAAAATACAACATTTTCAGGAACCAGCTAGACGCGTGCAATACTGGCGATTTTTGTTTAGAAATATTGCTTGTTTGTGTCGCTACTATAATCGAACTCGGCAACCATGAAATATTTAAACAAAGTATATTAAAATTTGACATTTTGATCAACCCCCATATAACAAGGGCAAATAATGTTAGCCAATCAGCGCGTTTGTTTACATTTTGCGTTCTTGACCAATCAGAATGCCTGAAATTCGAAACATGTAAACAAAAGGAGTGAGAAAATAACACCTTGTTCTACGCCCTCGGTGACATTCGATATTAAATTTTTTTCGCCAAAACTGACAAATTCTGATAAAGCATGCTTTCTTCTTTAATTTCCTCGGGGGGATTTTTTAAATTCGATCTAGAACGCGAAATATTTATGTTTGAATAACAGTGTTTCGACGCACGTAAAATAGCAGACTCTCACTTGCACTATCTTTACACACACATAAAAAATTGGTAGATTTGGCAGGTTAAACTTATTTTCCTCACACCACAGCTGACATGTTTTTAAATATTACCTATCTGATCTCATCGATCTCATTTCGCATCGGAAATGCGTCACAACGATCCAGGACTGACAGGTACAATATCGCATGACTCATTACTGTACATTAAAAGTAAAAGTACATATCCGGTTGGCAAAATGGCGATTGTCTGCAAGACCTTCGCGAAGGGCTTAATATTTTTGCTAATAAACTGTTCACGAGGGTCTCGTTCTGTTCGTCTTCTGGTTCGTCGTCAATCGTCATCGGCTGCCTCACTTTCTTGGTCGCTTTCGTCCTCTTCAAAGCAAGTCGCCGGGGCAATCAGCGTTAATATTTGCTGTCTTTCGAAGACCTTCCAAGAGCTTCAACATTTGCCAACGTTGTTGCTTCACAAACTGGGCAATCGCTGATGTTGGGCAGGATGCATTCGATGTGGAACGCAGGTCCACAACAACGGAAAACGTTCCAAGTGGATTAACCTTTTCGCAGGCAGGCAAATCGCAGGTAAGATTTATATTTTATATTTACAGATCTTGATACATTTATAGTCAGCGTCCTTGGTGATTGTTCCAAAATATGAGTGTGTGCCAAAGTTAAAATATTACTCATAATCTCCAGAACATGTTTGGAGAATGTTTTGAATCACTGCAGTTTAGAATTAGCAGTCGTTTTAAAGACAACAGAACTGGCAGCCATGGCACCCCACAACTATTCAGTGTACAATACCAGACAATGTAAATTACCACTTCCCCCAACCCAGAAGTAGGCAGTTTTTATTTCCCAGCACTGCATAATCAAAATTGCTGGATTGTATAAATGTCTGGCTTTGTCTCAGTGGCCCTGCTTTGCCCCATGAACCCCACACTTCCTAGATTAAAGCAAGCGGGGACTTATATTGACTGGTACTTAGGTCCTGTTTATATGGAAGCCGGGCTGGCCCGCTAAGTGAGACAGCCCGGTAAGCGAGATCTCGCTGTGTAGTTATTTTTATAGTAAAAATTATTGTGCGTTTATATGGTCAAGTGGGCTGGCCAGGTTGCCGAGATCTCACTTGAAAAGAGGTGAGATCTCACTTGAAAAGAGGTGAGATCTCGCTTACCGGGGTGGAAATTTCTCCATATAAACACTCACAAGCAGGCTAGCCCAGTTGCTGGGATGAAAGATACCGCCGCAAGCTATTTTAACAACTGTCAAAACCAGCAAGCGGGATGAAATTTTCTCATATAAACACAAGAGAAATTCATCCCACCTGCCTGTCTCGCTAAGCAGGCCAGCCCGGCTTCCTGCATATAAACAGGCCCTTAGTTGAATTGCAGCACTTCGTCTGCCTGTGTGTTACTTTCAAGTGTACCCTGGTTCTTTGCAAGGTAAAAGAAACAAGAG